TTGCATGTACAATCAAAGCTAATGACAATGTAGGTGAGATAGTGGACAGTGTTACTTCTTAACTTGGAAAATAATGGGAACTTATGGAGAAGAACAAGGGGATCGAACTAGGAAGAGATGGGCTCAGTTGAACAAGGCATACAAAAGATTCGTGATGCGATAGACATAAAGCAATATTTTCTCCTGCACGATAGGGATACACTGTTTGAAAGTCACATTATTATTATCATTATTACTATTATTATTATTATCATTACATACCGGTGTATGGTGGACAACAAACGGGGTGGAACCCCACGGTCACGAAGACCTGCTGTTCAGTGATGGTAACCGGCAACCTAAGCCCCGGGACTTGGAGTGGCGAACCAGACATAAGGCCCCGCTAGGTCAGGCGTCGTATAGAGCCAGACGACAGCAAAGCTGTCTACCACCAAAGTTGGGTGGCGGTGGCGGGGCTCGAAACTCGGGCCTTAGGGTCCGACGCACGCCGGTGCTGGCGACTAAACCACTGTGCCACCACCGCCCTAGGATTACGTTATTAACGAAGGACATGGTCCTATTTTGAACAAGATCCAGATAAGGAATACGGACAGACAGATAGACAGACAGACAAACAGAAGGGAACCAAGCTGTACGTTTCAAGTGTTGGGCGAATATTAACTTTATGAACGAAAGTGCGGTGGAATGCACAAAAGTCAGGGATCAATTGAAAGGGAAAAGATAACCGAACTGGCACGCAATAACGGAGACAAATAAACGGATGTCGAGTGACCTGGCGAACGTAGACGAATGGAATATGTTGAATGATTCGATAATGAAAGAGAGGTGGGATCTGGTTGTGCATTAGTCTCCGAAAGGGCTCATGGGATCGATGTGACAGCATTCGAAACCTGAGCATGACGTCACTGATGTCTGCGTAGATTAGATGAAAATAGTTTTCGTATTGTTTTTACCCAATTTTTCATTTAAGTAAAATTTACACTGCTTGGTTTGCCTGTGCACAGAGATGTACCACGGAAACCGAGTGTCTCCACGCCTCGCCTCGCCTCACCTCCCGTCTACCCTATTACGTCCTCCAGTCCTGCACCCTAGTTTGTTCCACACGGATGTGAGAGAATTCCGGACATAGTTGTGACTTTTCATGCTTGCACTGTATATTATTCTGGTTTTATATATGACTGAAACGTGAGAATACAATCTCTGGGGAAAATCGAAACGCAACATACAATTTTCAGACATAGTTCAGAGGAAAAAAGATCAAGGGAGAGGAACAAGAAAAACAGCCTCAGTCATACATGAACCTGGACAATAGCACTAAAATATTGATTTGTACTGTCACCAAGACGAGGATGCACAAATGATACATTCTTTTAGTCACCTCAGTGCACTTGTGAAAGTACAATCCCATACGTCCCCCGCACACAAACAACTGTTTTTATTTGCATAGACTGAATAAAAGTAAGTAAGTAGTATTTTCCAGCAACAATTGTTCTATCTGTCGAATCAACTATAGTCCAGTAGTAGTTCATATTGTCCGATTCCGACAAACCAAATTACATGACACGGAGGATAGCTGGCTCCATTCTGTCTCAAGTCATCTATATCTTTAGCGCACAAATTTCATAATTCTCGCTGAGAATCACTGTTAATGGCCCGTGATTAGAAGCTCTTGATCACGTGAATAGAGCAGTTGCTATATCTCACAGACTAACGTGTACGAATTTTGTAAAGTGTTTGTATACTTTACATATGGCATGTTCTATTTTTCTAGTTCAGACAACTGAACACGTCTGAAAACGTATAACGAACGATTTTGAGCAAAATTTCAGGTCTTTTTCAAACAGTCCCGGAACATTGTCACAGCCCCAAATATCACAAAGTCCCTTCCTCCCCCCGCCCATCCTCACATATGGCGCTATCGTTACCGTATGTGCACCTCTTTTTCAGTCCATTCAATTTTTACTTGGATACAGAAACTAAAAAATGTATTTTGAATGATATAGGACTTTCAAAGTTTCCATGCACTCTTTCCACCGATCGATGCAATAGCTCGATGGAACAGTCAGATTGTATGCTAAACATCTATGACGTCACTGTACAGGCACTGAACAAACACTATTTGATCAAAGTATTCTAGGGTTATTATTCAATAGCCGGTTACCACATTTCAACAAAGTTGCACTAAATGACTGTCACCGCAAAAAATGGTGGGTAGGTGTTGATGGATTTCTGTAACATATCAATCCGTAAGCCGCAATCAAGCCCGTAACCTTCTGTCGCCGTTTCCTTCTTGATAAGGTAATAATAATTGTAAATAATCCATTGTAAACTTCCTGTATGTGGAACTTAATGGCAATACAAAATAAAAATAATATTTTTACTAGCTCCTCGTACTTCAAAGACATTCGTGAAATTATTAGACAGGAATGAAGTGTTTAATCAGGTGTAGGTGTTGTTGCTGTTGCTGGTGGTGGTGGGTGGTTGTGAAAGAGAGGGTCGGATTCGAGCACATGACTTCCAAGCCAATTCAATGATGATATCGCAGTTTTACAAAAGAAAACAATGCGCAAACGTTCTCAAAAAAAAATTTACAAAATTAGTACATTGGGGGTGGGTTAAAGGGGGGGGAGAGGTGAGCTACAAACGATTGATATGCAGAACCGTATATCAGTTGTTTAAATCTGTGCCATCTGATCTGGATACATCAAATAAACAAGACGCTCCGTTCTTTTGACCATCTGTGGGCTATGGGTGCCACTTGCCCGCCAGCGTGAAACTGAACCATAACACACACACACACACAAACTGTGTGCGGTTCGGTGTGATGTATATGCTACTGCGCCAAGCCAGATCACCGGATATTATTTCTACCGTCTACTCGGATGCAAAAGTTCATCCACACACACACACACACACAATACGTGTAGTGCAATCGAAGAGAGAGAGAGCTATCCACGGTAAGTCTGTACAAATACTTTGCATTGGTGAAAGCACATTCCACACAGTCACCACCGGCATAAAGGTTGACTAACATACATCTGTCTGTCGTCTGTCATTGGTTTCCAATACGCTTACCATGGATATGCACACATACTGATGCACTTATTAGGATGAATGATGACTGGCAAATACGGGCTCGTGCCCGCACACACACACACACACACACACACACACACACAATAATCAATGCTTTGGAGAGTGTGATTACGAGGGTTAAGGAGACCCCTCCCCTCTCCCTGGGCCAAAACAACAACAATACAAAAATGGATGTGATCTACTCGAAGCCAATCACATTTACATTTGCATTAAATTCGTCTGTTTAATTAACCGAATCTAATTTGTGTTGTTGATTGTCCGTTTGCATGTGCGGATTGACCAGACATTGACTGTTCTTGAAAGAAAGCGTCACAAAATACCCCGGTGGTTATTGTCCCGATGGCATTGACCGCTGCAAGTCGCTTTGTACACAGACTATCGCTTTCAAAGACCGTATAACATCGCATTATTTGATATTCTGCTCATGTGCGCAATCAAATCAGCAACACGATGTCAGATGCACAATTTTATTTGCGTGCACTCAAATCGGTTCAGACATTCATTTGTTTCCTGTTGAGGTAAGGGTTTGAAAACAGCCGCATAACAGACGCGGGGACCTTCGGTTGTCCCAGGCAGTTATTATCTTGGCTTACCGGGTAAACTGAATGTATCAGATTGGGTCGGAGGAATTCCAAGGTACAGTTCTTCCCCCTACTTCCCTCTTCAACTACGTTGACGACGTGGTTTTATATCAAGGCCATCTCCGATTTTTCGGATTTTTCGCAATTTTCTGACAACTTGGAGAACGTTTAACAATTTTCCGCCACATCCGGCCTCTCACTATTAATCCTTCCAAGTGTTTTGATTGTTCAACTAGTTGTTTGGCAGATTTGAAGTTTGTATGTCGATTGTGAAAAGTTCAGTAGCCTCGGTGGGATTCGAACCNGGTTCGAATCCCACCGAGGCCACTGAACTTTTCACAATCGACATACAAACTTCAAATCTTCCAAACAACTATCTGAACAATTAACCTTGTCTTAGAAGCTCATTCGGTGGAGTCCGGTGAATTCTAAGGGAAACCTGTCGAGGCAATCAGCTTACATGCTAACTGGTGGATGCCACATGCCTCTGTAAGTCGGATGGGTAAATTCGAATGTTTTGATTGTCTCTATACATTAGCACGTTCTTCTTTCCCATCTGAACCCGTATCGATTGACCCTGAACCAGTATCCCGGGTAAGCTGTATCAAATACTTGGGGATTTTTATCGTTACCAATCTTCATTGAACCTCTCACATTCAACATATCACATCGGTAAACTTAGACGACTTTCTTTTCATATCTGTAAACTTCGTCAAATTCGTATTCAACAATCGATTATCTCCAGATTAGTGTACCAGTGTGTTTTCCTCGTTTTACTCTATTGTTCATCTGTTGTTTTTAAGAAAATATTCTAGAGAGAGATTTTAAACTGCTTCCACATGGACTGACCATCATCATGAGCTATGTCTCTTCAATCCCGCTGGAGGAGTTGGTAACTAACCAGTGTGAGCGTCATTTGAATGCATGTGAAAAATTTGCACGTCAGATCCTTATCAACAACACACATCCGTTACGCACAGATTTAACTTCCTGTTGTTTCCGTCCTTCAACTAGATCCCAATACCGTTGTATTCCCTTTCGAAAAAACATATTTCGTAGTCCTTTTCGCCTAGACGCACAAAATTTAGTCATACCGCTGTAGGTGAGTTAGATCAAAAATTATCGGGATCTACTCTGCGGCAGTGGTCCTGTATTAACGTCACCAAATTATCACCCCGAGTATGTATGTTCGAATCTCACTCCCACTGCCTAACTTGCCCCATTGTGTGTTGAATTGCAGTAATAAAAGGAAGTAAAATGAAAAGAAAAGAGACCGTCTGTAAGTAGATCCTGTGCACGAGAAACTTGGGCTCACAAACCATGTCAGAGAATGAAGGCAAACAAAAGAAAATTAAGCTCACTTTTGAAATCTTCCAAATGATATCGAGCCGCACGTACATGTTCCCGTTCCGCGGCCACAGCCGATTCCAGATCAGCAAAATGTGCCCGTGTGAGAAGCGACTCGGTTTCGGATATCGGCTGATCTAACAGACTGACGGCTACTTGTGTATCCAGTGCGGCAAGAATGTATCGTCGTTGAGATATTTCTTCACTGAGATCCTTGAAAGGTGGTTGAAGGGTGTGAGGGTGTGTTAAGGTAGTTAGACGAAAACGTGTCCCGAAGCAATCCAGAAATGGCTTATGCAAACAAAGCAGTTTGAACAATGACCGTGCAAAATGATATTGAATTACCAAACAGAATTTAAAAAAACATTTATCATTATGTTAGTTCCTACTGAGTCAGTCACGTAGTGACTTGTGGGAGACTAGATGGGCACATGAGGCTCGCGAAAATGGATTGCTCGAAGTAGTTTATAGACAAACTGAAATGGTTTGATCAACTACCTAATAAACCAACCACTGAAGCGACTCAACAAAATCGGGTTTATGCCCACTCTGTTCTGCCGTACACGACAAATTTCATTGCCAAATGGAATCATCACTTACACCAATTACGCTCAAGCGAGAGACTATAAGAAAGTAGTAATCGCTAATCCACTTAATTTGGAAAGACTATATGTGACACTTTCGTTTCACTAGTCAGAAATTATCGGCATTTCATCGAGGTTGAAGGCAGTGGAGTTCGAAACCGAGCATGAAAATGTTACCCATNACACTAATAGACCGAGGGTAATAAACACTGGTCACAACAATACACTGACTTAGGTACACTTTTTACCGTCAGGTTTTAGACAAAAGCCCGCAATTCTTCAGCCTCGACTGTCGTAATTATGTCAAATATTGCAGGGTCAATTAGTTGATGATATTAATTAGGGTGTNGGTTGAGGCTAAAAGATAGCGGGTTTTGGCTAAAACCAGATGAGAGATGACATAGTTAACAAAGAACGCGGTTCCACGGAATTTGTTAAAAGTTTCTGGATTTCAATCCTTTTTCTAGTCCTTTCTCAAAATTTTACACTTTTAATTTAAATGTCGGCTTTATGTCTACAGAAGTTATGATTGCCATCAAAATTAGAATCTGGAAAGATGATAACAGTTTACTCATACTGTGCTTTTATTCTTTAAATGCGATGGAAATGTTTGTTATAACCGACAAAGAACGCACTGGACAGAGCTGTTTCGTCCTGTTTGGGACTCGTCAGCAGTACGTACTTTTTGTGTCCCCCCCTGCCAGGACTTGAACCGTGATTCTTCGGGCTAGGACTTCAAACCCTTACTCTTGAGCTACATCACCAACAGTGCCGGGTGCCAGGGAAAAACCGAATGGACCCATATAAACATTCACCACTGTTGTCTCCCAAATTTAGTAGGTAAATGAGCATACAACGAATTAAGTAGTACGTTTCTTGTGTGCATCAAATATGTAGCCGGTACACAAACCGAAGAACAAGCAGGAGCGATCAGCGTGTAGGAGTGCAGGCAGGCCGAGTCCGGCTCACACATCACACTACATGTGACTGCCTTCAAGCCAGCATTCAAATAGTCAGTCAATCGATCAACCAATTTGGCCACAAATCAGCCAATTGTAAGCCATAACAATCACCTTTTAACTCTTTGTGCATTATTCCATACAATCAGTTCGATGTTCGATGTTTTTGTTAGAGCAAGTAGAAGGACCGTCACGATGACAAGATATGTGGAATTTATTCAAACGTGATCTGAATACCAATGCGTACTACCGACGAGATGGCGACTATGAAACAGTTGAATTTAACGTATCCTTTGACCGGATACTATTTTCTGTCTTCATGCTTTCTCGGTAACAGAATCGCGCAGGGTTAGGTAAGGCGGAGTTGTACTCGGTGGATCGTGAAAACAGGAGTTTAAATCTGGAACAAATTATTGACAATGGGATACACAGACCGTTCAGAGAGTGGCGCGGGGTTGGGGTTATAGGTTCAGTCAAAATCGACCTCGAAAAGGTTCGAATGCTTGCAGATGTCGAAAAAGCCTATTGATTCGATTATTTGAATCCGAAATATCGCATTTCATAAATATAAGAACTCAAAGAAACTACAGTACTTCCTCAAGAAGAGCACGGAAAATCATTGAGGAAGGAAACATCGATTGGGTGTAAAATTTTAGCACAGAGGAACTATCGATTTGCACTGACTGTAATTCAGATTTCACTTTCACGCACTATACTCAGTTCATCCAATCACCGATGTACTCTGGAGTACCATAATTGAATTTCATTTTTATGATAGCTCATCAGTAGTGTATATCGGGGTGTGAAGTCCGGACCGATTGCATGAAAGGCTTGTGTGTCACCACTGTGCCAACCAGCTCATACCATGACTGAACCGAATTGCCAATTCATGTTTGTTTAGGTGTCGTCTCCAGTGATAGTCGGTCAGTTCACTTTGGGCCCGACAGTAACGAAGGGAGACACAGCTGTCCATTTGTTAACTTCCATCGAAAACTTTCCACCAAATCACAGTTAACTGTGAGTTACATGCTTGTAGAAACTGTTTGTCCAGCTGGATAGTTAAAGAGGAATATTTCAGGTGTAAAGTACAAGAGAAATTCATATCTTGTTTGGAAAACCAGAAATCGTGTTCAGCCCAAGTAAGATGTAAGTTTCAAGTTGATGGTTACTCATAAACGGAAGAATTACTATGCTGTTCTCCCACCAGATCCCGTTTTACTTTCATTATACAGCCGTATCAATTTGACTTACTTCATAGAAACTTCACTCAGTGAGGAGCTCTTGTTGTTCACCCAGTGCGTTCCAGTCTTCCGGTCTGTAGATATTTGATGGCATGCACGTCAACCGTACTGGTGTGGCTATATGGATACCAATTACAATGAATTAATAAGTTCCAGACAGCCACACGCGTGTGAACTACACGTGTCTGCATGTGAAGCACATTTGCACACAAAATCCTCTCTGACCGTACTCATCCTTTACATAACGATCTATCCAAAAATCGTTCTCAATCATCCACGCTTTCTACCCTCTCGCATCAATCTCTACAGCAATTCTACAGTTCCCTATAATCCTCGCAAACCGACAGCGAGTGTCTTCAGAATTTCTCACCAACATTGGAAATTGGTTACATGTTTTTACTTGCATTATTCCCTTCTTTTGATAATTTATGACTGAAATGCGGACATCTGTCCAAGCAAATACACATACAATATCATTCATGGTAAGCTTTTACCCAAATAAAACTTTGACTTTGATCATAGTTTGCTCTACACTACTTGAGGCTTCAGCATTTAGGGTTTTGGTGAATCCGATATCAGGTAATATTCACCTGTACTGTCCCCTCTTCGCGTTGTCCCACTTTTCCAGTGAACCCTTTAAATTTATATTTTTTGCAATCCTATTCTACGTGTAAGTAAGAACAACAAAAAGCACTCAACCAAAGTGACCGTGCACCAGTTGAGAAACAAAAAAAATAGTTGACACCTGCCACCTGTAAAATCGCACAGATCGCTTTAGAACCACACACACACACACACACGCATACCCGCTCCTGCTCTTACGACTGGAACCTACTGCACACAGTTGTGTGCGCCGGGATGTGGCTTGCACAATGATGTTTGCGCTGCTCCAAGTGGTGACGCCACTGCATCGCTCTGAGCTGTTCTGTTTCACGCATTCAACTACGTTTGTGTGTGTGACGTGTTGTACTGTACTGTGCTGTGCTGCTCTGTTTCAAGTATATATTTATTCTCAGAACAGACACGTGCCTGCACGCACTCACACAGGGGCAGTCAGGTCGCGTCGGTATCGATCGCCGTGAGTATGCTAATGTTACCGCACGTCCTTACTCGAGTCTCCAGATTGCATGCACACAGAGAGAGCAGCCTATAGACTGAATTAAAACTGGTGCTCCGACGAACTACTCAGTCATTTATATATGTGTGTATTCTTGTTTGTCACGCGCGATGATGTGGCAGACGGTTAGGAAACAC